TTTCTATATCTATACCTATATCTATGTCTATACCTATATCTATATCCGAATCTTGTCTCTATTGTCTATTTAGATATTTATAAAAATTAACAGTGAATTTTCTTGGATGCAATCTGCCAGAAAATAGTCTTCTCAAACCAAAGCAAAACCAAGTAATTTCACTTTCACTTACTCTTAGGGGACAATTAAGAAATACTTTACTAGGCTGGGCACAGTGGCTCACACCTGTAATCCCAGCATTTTGGGAGGTGGAGGCAAGAGATCACCTGAGGTCAGGAGTTTGAGACCAGCCTGGCCAACATGCTGAAACCCTACCTGCTTCAGTCCCCTTTCCAGGGGAGTGAACGATTCTGTCTCACTGGCATTCCAGATGCCACTGGGGTATGAAAAAAACTCCTACAGCTAGCTTGGTGTCTTCCCAAATGACCACCCAGTTTTGTGCTTAAAACCCAGGGCCCTGGGGGTATAGGCACCTGAGGGAATCTCCTGGCCTGTGGGTTGCAAAGACCTTGGGAAGAGCTTAGTATCTGGGCCAGAATGCACTGTTCCTCACCACACAGCCCCTCACAGCTTCCCTTGGCTAGGGGAGGGAATTCCCCAACTCCTTGGCTTCCTGAGTGAGGTGATGCTCCATCCTGCGTCTGCTTGCCCTCCAAGAGCTGCACCCACTGTCTAATCAGTCCTAATGAGATGAGCCCGTTACCTCAGTTGAAAATGCAGAAATCGCCCGCCTTCTGTGTTGATCTCTCTGGGGGCTGCAGACCAGAGCTGTTCCTATTAGGCCATCATCTTGCCCTGGAATGTCCGTTGTAGGTTCTTAAGTATCTTTAAAGAGTAGAGAAGCATAGATATTCTAGATTCCTTTGAGGCTATATTTAATGCCCTTCCCTTCAATGTCAGAACAGAAGTTTGTATTTTTTCATTTTCTAAGTCAATCTTTTCCCTGAACTCCTTATCTTTTTCCTCCCATGCCCTTAAGGACTTTTCACATTCTTTTATTTCATTTTTTCTCAACTTCAATCTTCTTTAAAAAAAACAGTTATTTTCCTTGTTATTTAAATATGCATCTGATTCCTAACTATTAAACACAATTTTCTTTAATCCCCAGCCACTAATTTATCTGTCATTCTTGAAATCATTTGAGTAGCCACTATCTTTTCAAAGACTGTTTTTAAAACCCTGTACTAATGCCTCAAGATGAGTAAGATATAGTCTTTATCAAAGAGGCTTATAGTCTAGTAGGGGAGGCAATACCTAGATTTGGGTTTGCCATTACCAACTGTAGCAAATATTTTCTCCTTTCCAGCCTCTTTTTTTTTTTTTAATCTGCAAAATGTACCTCATGGTTTAAAATCAATATAATTCTGTGACTTATAAAGAAATAATTTGATACAGTATTTAATAGGTAGCCATAATGTAACAATATAATTACTTTGGAAATCAGGAGAAAGGCCACTTTTTGCTGTCACTGAGTAGAAAAGATGGCAATTTGAATCGAATTCACAAAATTCCAGAAAAATGTGAGTGAAGCTGTGGAAAACAGAAGCATGTAGCATAGATACAAGACACGGCATGAAACCTCGGGTGGCTGCAAAATGGTTTCCATCTGAGAGTCTTGGAATTAGATATGATTACTAATACAAGCACATAGAGAGATGAAGGACAAAATGGCATAGGGTTGGAGGGAGACAGATGACTGGACAATGTCAACTTTTAGGCAGGAGGTAGAGAAAGAAGATCCAGTGAGGAAGCCAGAGGAGGCTCAGAGTGTTATAGAGAAAAATCACTATATGCTTCCAAAAGTGGGGGGATAACGTATCTGGTTAAGTGCTTCAGAAGTCAAAGAGCATGAGAATTGGTTAGACCACCATCACTGATAATGTAAGAAGTCATTAGCGAATTTTGAACATGAGAGGAAGTCAGTTTGCATTGAGTTTAAAATAAGTTGTAGAGAAAAGAAAGCTATGAGGCGATGACTGTTTTACGTGGCTTGTGATTAAATGGGCCAGTTTCGGCAGCTGGCATAACAAGCAAAAGTTCCTCTCCTTATTTCTCTCTTTCAAGGCTAGAAGGAGTATTTCTGGATTTTTACTTGAGCCAGTTTCATTGCATCCCATTGCCAGAGATGTTTCATTGTTAGATAATTATTGTCAGCTGAAAATATATTTACAGAATTTATTCATAGTAACCTATAAACTATTATGGAATTCCTCACAGGCTGCTGGTGGTGAACAAAAGCTGGAGGAATTTCAGTGTGTCCTGGAGTTAATTTGTAAAATAAGTCTTAAGCATATCTAAGTTTTAAGTCCCACTTTTAACTGCAAAATAGTGATTTCTAAGCAGGTGACTTTGCAAGGTGTAGGAATACTCAACTTTTTTTTTTTTTTTTAAATATTTTTTATCACCCAGGCTGGAGTGTGGCTGTACAAACACAGCTCACTTCAGCCTTGACCTCCTGGGCTCAATTGATCCTCCCATCTCAGCCTCCTGAGTAGCTGCAACTACAGGCACTTGCCATCATGCCCAGCTATTTTGTGTGTATGTGTGCATTTTTAGTAGAGATGGGGTTTTGCCATGTTGCTCAGACTGGCCTTGAACTCCTGAGCTCCAGTCATCCACCTGCCTAGACCTCCCAAAGTTCTGGGATTACAGATGTGAGCCAGCATACCCGGCTGGAAAACCTATCTTTTAACTTCAAGAGCCAAGGATATTCGTCACCGGTCTGGCTATTATAACCTTTTATTATAAATTAAATTTATCTCTATCTTCTCTTTACTAATCAAGTACGTAATGAAAACAAGTAAAAGGTTCAGAAGATAGTACAGGTAATCCAAAAAATTGCCCTTTTGTTTGTCCCAGGGCTTTAATAACTATAGTAACTAACAACCACCATTTATTCAGCACTTATTATATGCTAAAGACTAGGATTGGAATTTTGTTCTCTCTATAGTTTTCACTATAAGGAAATTGAAACCTTGACAGTCAACACCTTGTCCAGAAGTCCCACAACTAGTAAGTTGTGCAGGCAGGGTTAAAATTAGAACCTTCTAATTTTTTAGCATTCAAGTTCTTAATCAGCTCAGATTAGCATAACCCATGGGCATTAGATCCAAACTCTGGGCAGACATAGATGAAAGAAACTTGATGTAGTCAAATGATAGATATTTATTAGTAAGGGGGACTTGGTTTTAAGTAGCATTAACTTAAACACACACATTAACTTAAACAACAAAAGGGGAACTTACTGGAAGAATAAGGCCATATTTCAGGGAAGATTTGAGCAACCAATCTTCAGTAGCAACAAAAAATAGGGCAGCAGACTGGGCATGGTGGCTCACATTTTTAATCTGCACTTTGGGAGGCCTAGACTGGAGGATCACTTGAGGCCAGAAGTTCAAGACCACCCATGGCAAAAAAGCGAGACCCCCATCTCTATTAAAAAAAAAAATATGAAAGAAAATAGGGAAGTTCTATAAGTTAAAAAACAAAATTTCTCATCCTCCTTTCTTTTTTTAACACCATTACATTGCTTTTCTCTTGACCTTTGATTCAAATTCTTGAGATAAATTTTCTTGTATACTGAAAATGATTGGCTTCCAGTGGATCAGATGTCTGTTCTTTGTTCCTTGCCACTGGGCAGGGCAAGGATGTCATTGTATATTATGGTTATAGATGATAATTTCTTCGCTCCGCAGAGCAATTCTCAGAGTAGGACAAAATTTGGGTGTCATTGTATATTACGGTTATAGATGATAATTTCTTCACTCCACAGAGCAATTCTCAGAGTAGGACAAAATTTGGGGAAGTGGTGGGACAAATAGGACAATATTTAAAAATAAGGCTGTCCAAGAAAATCCACTCTATATGATGGTAAATTACAATTTTTTGGCCTTTTTTTGTACTTAATATTGGCATAAAGCTATGGTCAAGAGCCTACAGGGAGAGAGAAATTTATGACGGGCTCTTTAACTCCTTTCAATATATGATATGAGAAGTGTAAACTAGGAAAATTTTGCTAGCCAGGAAGAGGGTTTCCTTTCCTATTTTCCCAGAAGAAGTAGTTGTTTTCCTGAGAACTGAAGGAAGGGTAGAGGCCAACTAGGCAAATAGAAAGAGCATTCCACGTAAGAGAATAGACCCTATGGCAAAAAGTGATATGACATTGTTGAGGAGCTGCAAAGGCCTGTCTGTCTATATATAAAATACAGATGGCAAAAGGAACTATCACATTGTCACATAACATATCTCCTAACGCCTTGTTTCTTTTCATAAAGACAGTTACCATAGTCACTATTATTTTAACTTTTATTTATGCAATTATCTAACTCATTTGCAGCTCTTCTTCTTGAGGTTAAACTTCATGTAGTTTCTGCTCACCATTGTATTCCCACTATCCAAACTTAGTGCCTATGACTTAGTAGATGAGGCTAAACACATAAGTAGGCTTCAAATGGTACAGGACTTATGGGCTCAGATTTCATTTTCATTCTTAAGTCTTTCTTCAGAAATGTTACCATCGATGGAGATAATGAAGCATATTTCATCTTTTTCTTCATTTAGCTATATTAGGGGTGTGGGTGTGCAGCAGTCCAAACAGTGTGTGTGTGTGTGTGTTAGTGTATGTGTATTGGTGGTGGCTGAATGAATACGAAGAGCCTAGCCCAATTCTTGACACATGAAGTGATGTTGGTGGGAATGTAAATTAGTATAATGTCTATGGAAAACAGTATGGAGATTTCTCAAAGAACTAAAAATGGAACTACCATTTGATCCAGCAATTCCACTACTGAGTATCTACCTAAAGGAAAATAAATCAATATATCCAAAGGATACCTGCACTCATGTTTATCACAACACTATTTGCAGCAGCAGAGATAAGGAATCAACTTAAGTGTCCATCAATAAATAATTGGACAAAGAAAATGCAATATATATACCACAGAATACTACACAGCCATAACAAGGAATGAAATCATGTCTTTTTCAGCAACATGAATGCAGCTGGAGACCACCATCCTAAGTGAAATAACTCAAAAATAGAAAGACAAATATACCTTCCCACTCATAATTAACTACAAAATGTGTATTTATGAATGTAGAGAGTGAAATGATGAGCATAGAGACTTGGAAGGGATAGGGAGTGGGGAGGTGGACAATGGAAAATTACTTAATGGGTACAATATACATTATTCAGGTGACAGCCTAAAACCCTGACTTGACCGGCATACAATCTGTGCATATAATAAAATCATGCATGTACTGCATAAATTTATACAAATACAAAAATAGTAATATAAAAATAATCAATTTTAGAAATAATGTTTACCAATTATGATTTTGTCCTCTTATGTATTATCGGGGAGCTGAAGAAACCCAGAACAACAATTCCCAAATGCATATTTACTGCGTTACCTCTGGTGACTGTAGTTTATTTACTGGTTAACATTTCCTACCTGACTGTTCTAACACCCAGGGAAATCCTCTCTTCAGATTTGTATGCAAATGGCTAAAACAATAAATAAAGTGCTGGTCCTTTCAACATATCTTAATTATCATTTCAACAGCCAGAACCACTCTTTACTGTTCATTATCGTACATATAGAACTAATTTATAATTTTCTAAAATAACAGACGGCCAAAGGGAATGATTTGTCTTGGAAAGGAGATTCATTTTTAAGCATGGTTTTGCCTTTTCTGATAATATGGGAAGATGTATATAATGTTGACGTATGGTATACATCAGATTCAAAATATTAGTATTCCTTTCATGATCTCATCTCACCAGGGTGATACCGTGTAATCAGTGTTTACACCTATTTTTAAACTTTCAAAATGTTTAAGTCTCAGTGTTCTTCTAGGTGTCACAAAGAATGATCAATTTGTGATGTAGAACATTGGCAGTTAGAAGAGTAGTTGCTAATGTTCAACTGATGCATATGATTAATATTGATGTGCAAAGTAATATGGTTGTTTACCATAAACAACTCTAAAATTTATGGTGGCAAAGTAGCCTGAACATATGGGAAATCTGACAAAAAATAGCTATCTTAGAGACCAAATGGTAGAATAAAGAATAAAAGGCTGAGAAAATCTTAAAGAAATACATATTTAAAAATGAGTAATGGATTTAAAGAATAAAAGAAAATTTGGAAAAAAATGAGAAACAGGGAAAGTTGAAGACTAGTAATTTTCTCAAGCCAGCATTAAACCACTTCGTGAAATAAATCTGTCACCCAGTACCTTTAGTACTAATCTCTTTTGAGCAGCTATTACTGTTTTGGTGAATCTTTGAGGCACAGAGGTAAACCTAAGGGAGATTTTGCTATAAAATTCTGGTAAACTTTGCCTCAATTCTTATGTTACTGCCCTGCAGGATGCTGCCATATGGCATTAGTGTTGATTCATAATGGTCTAGGTGTCTTAGGGACCTATAAACTAGATGCAGTCAAGCTTCTGAGTGTCTGTGGGAACAAACCAAATGCAAAGCCGGATCAGAACAAGCAGTGATTCATTAACTGCCTTGATTATGTAAAGAATAAATTTACAAAGTTAATCGTGGGTGTGGTCGGGGCTGCTGGTCAGCTAGTACAGCTGTTATAGTTCGTTGAAGCTGGCATCTGTTATGAATGACAGTGCTCCGGCCATACAGGTTGTTAAAAAGTCATGAATATCTCCTTTGGTGTCATAATGGTTATAGCAGTTTTGCAGGTGGCACAATAGTTTTGCCATGTGTGGAAGACTCATGAAGTGTTTTGACCATCATCACTTGTAATTCGGCTACGATGCTTACTATTTCAGGCATCTAGTCTTCAGACTTTTTGTTTAAATTCTGAATTAATATTTTTGAGTCCAAATATCTGCATGTTTATTGTACAAGAAATTTAAATTAAGAAAATAATCAGAGCCATATGTGAAAAAATGTATGTATACGGTCAGTCATTATAGCTTTATGTATGATAGCAAAAAATTAAAAATCATAAAAATATCCAATAAGCTTGAAACACATAAAAATGTATGGGAAATCTATACGATAGAACTTTCTGTGATTTGTAAAAGATGATATTGTTGATATGTGCTTGAAGAAAAGGGACAATGTTTATAATTCAATGACAAAGAAAAAGTCAGGATGTATATGATGATATATCACAATAAATAAGTAGTTAACAATGGTGCTCAATGGGGATGATATTGTAGGTGATTTTTACTTTATTGTTTGCACTAAATTTTCCAAATTTTCTTTAACAAATTGCAAAATTTGTAAAATAAGGGGGAAAGTTATAAGCAAAAGAAATAGTTTTTTGTTTTGTTTTGTTTTGTTTTGTTTTGTTTTGTTTTGTTTTGTTTTGTTTTTGAGACAGAGTCTTGTTCTGTTGCCCAGGCTGGAGTGCAGTGGCACAATCTCTCTCACTTCAATCTCTGCCTCCCCGGTTCAAGCGTTTCTTGTGCCTCAGCCTCTCGAGTAGCTGGGATTACAGGCATGGGCCACCACACCTGGCTAGTTTTTCTATTTTTAGTAGAAATACGGTTTTGTCATGTTGTCCAGGCGGGTCTTGAACTTGTGACCTCAGGTGGTTCTCCCTGTTGGCCTCTCAAAGTGCTGGGATTACAGGTGTGAGCCACAAGGCCCAAATATAGATTCTTAAATTAAGAAATTTTAAAGATTAAGGAACGCATTTTTAAAATAAAACAAGTATATGTTCAAAAAATGTGAAACGTTTCCAGACGAATATAGAGCATCTAGTATGTGGCATGTATTGGATGTTACATTTTATTTAAGAAACATTGAAAGAATTATACCGGGCTGTGATAAATTTTAGATTCTAATATTTGTGGTTTACATAGAAAAAGAAACAGTGGTATTAATTATGTAATATTTTTGTCTGTGTCAGTGTCAGAGCTTTGACTCGTTTCTTCACCTATTTTTCTCTTAGGAAAAAAAATAGCCTTTATTGTAAATAAGTTCCACAACTGAGAAGGGAAGGGTGTTCTCTAGAACAAGGCGTGTGGAAATGCCTTAGTGAGGAGCCCTGGTTCCAGCTTTGAAAACCGAGGATTGCGTTGTTCCTGAAGTCCTGCCACACGCTGCTGACAGGGGTGCTTGCATTGGCTTTTCTTGAGAGTTCCATGCCATACTTAAAACTGGAGAAAACTGGCATAGGACAAGATAATCTAAAACAGTAAATACTTTTTATGGAACCAGAAGCTGAGAAGGGTTCCCTGTCCAGATGCAGCCTAAAAGTAGCTGGTATCAAGTACCCAAGTATGGTTAAGAATTTCGAAGATAGCCAATGATAGACAAAATAATGATAATAATAAAAGGATTTTGAAGAGAAAGTGGTAATTTTAGAATCTTTAATTGGTAAATTGATGCAATTATTTTCAGAGGGCAATTTTGTAATATCACCCTTATTTTAAAATACACCTACCTTTGAACTTGCGAGTCCCACTTCTAAAAATTTACTCTAAGGAGACTTGAGCAACTATCAAGAATGGAAGGCCTGCATGTTTTCATTAAAACACATTTTATATTAGCAAAAAAAAATTGAAAACAAACTGAAAATAAAACAACATGAAATGGGCAGAAAAACTAATTGACAGATAATGGAATACTGAGAATTTGCTAGAATAATTAGATGCATGTAAATGTACTAATAAGAGCAAGATGCCTAAGTGAGCGTACACATACATACACATTCATATACAACCCTAGCAGATGCTTATACATTCATATAACATTTCTGGAAAAGGATCCAAACAGCTGTTAATAGCAGTTACATTTGCTGCACATGAATGGAGCGTTGGTGAGGAGAGGGACGTTTACTTTTCACTTTATGTGCTTCAGTGCTATTTATTGTACTTTTCACCCAAAACATACATGAGATCATTTTTAAAAGAAAAGAAACAACATGTGGAAAACAGTAACAAAGAAAAAAGTCACCTGTGGCATAGAGCTAAAGATTATGTAGAAAGAGGTATAGTTCTTGCCAGCCAGCACTGGCAGAGCTGCACCTGATGCTTCTTCAGTATCATTAACATTTTGTACTATATAATTTTTTGTTGTAGAGAGCTGTCCCATGCATTATAGGATGTTTAGCAACATCCTTGGCCTCTACTTATTAGATACCAGTAGCAACCGCCTACCTCCCTACTTGTGACAGCCAAAAAAGTCTCCAGACATTGCCAAATGACCCTGAGGAGTAAATTCACTTCCAATTGAGAACTACTGGTCTGTAGACAAGTCCCAAATGTCATACATATTTTTAATGGTGTGTAATTTATTTTCTTCATCTACGTGGTTCCTATTTCTGTTAAGCATTTCAAATTGCACCATGATGTGGGAAAGGCTCATTCTGGTGTCAATAATGCTGCACTGTGCTTTTTGGACTCTGAATGTGACTATCCAGACTCAATAAACTAGCTTTAGAAAATAAGCATGGATTCAATCATCTATTCAAGAAAATCAATTCATTTCACGAGTATTTTCTGAAAGCCTACTATATGTCTGTCACAGAGTGATGCACTAGTTTTATAGAAAAGAAATGGATTATCCTTGTCCTCAAAAACATTCTTGGTCTACTGGGGAAGACATATAAAATGATAACCATTTATTATATAGTGTGATAGGGGTCAAATAGACACCTTTATAAGGTGTTATGTAAGTGTAACTAAGGAAATAAACAATAAGCAAAATTAAATGTTATTAATTACTTGTTTCTGCTTTTATTTTGAAATAACATTTAAAAGTTTATCATTAGTATCTCTCTTTTAACACATTTTCTTTTGTGTACTTTTGTTTTTCTGCAGATGCTGTAGCTATCACATGGGCTGATCGAGTTTTTCCCTTATTACCATGGATTATGCTTTTTGCTATTTCTACTTCACTATTTAGCAAGCTTCTGATTTCTATATCCGAATCATCGAGACCAATATATCTTGTGAGCCAGGAGGGCCAGCTGACTTTGCTATTTAACACACTTAATAGACACTCCTCTCCATTTACAGCTGTGCTACTACTTGTCATTTTGGGATCCCTTGCAATTATATTAACAAGTCTAATTGATTTGATAAACTGTCTTTTTGCCATGAGTTCTTTTTGGTTTCTATTAGCAATGATAAGAATACTAAAGTGGAGATACCAGGAACCCAACCTATCTATACCTTATAAGGTAAAATTGGATTTTCTAATTCTTTTCTGTGAGAAATAAAAGATATTGTGCATAACTGTATTTAAGATTATAATCAGAACATCTATAAGCAGATCTTTTGAATACTCAGTTATTGTGAAACACATAAGAATAATCTGCTGTTGGTTTTAATTTTAATTTTTATTGGCTAGGTGACTCAATATAAACTCTCTTAGATTCCATGTAATGATTTATTAGAGAGAAAAGTCGTTCTTTGGGTGGTCGGACAGATCATTATGAGTATTTTGACCAGATATCATTTTGTCTACATATGTCACTAGTTATGCATATGAATGTCCTTTACGGTCGGAGTCAGATTAACTGATGAGAAACAGAAGAGGCAAGGAGAAGTCACAAGTGGAAACATCCACTATCCTGAAATATCAGCTTACTTTGTTGGCAAATTTCATCTTTTCAACTTTATTTATTTTGAACTGATTTTCAGTCTGGATGAAAAAAATTTTCACAGGAGAGGAGACCTAAGCAAAAACTTGGTGGCATAAGAATGTTATTGGAGAAAGATGGCCCTGATATTCTGGTTATCAGAATAATAAAATAGTCTTGGCTGGCTAGGTAGGATGTTTAAAGCTTTGCTTGGATGATCACCTGTAATCCGCTCAGTGATTTTTTAAAAAGGTGGATTCTATTGTTATTCCAATTTTACAGATAAGAAAACAGATTTAGAAAAGTTAGGTCACTTACCCATGTTCACACAGCATGGATTAGAGCCAAGATTCAAATTTAGGCAGTCTCTTTGGAGGGTTTGACTCTCGCTGAAAACAAAATATAAAAAAGAACTGCTGAGAGAAAGAAAAAAAGAATGTTCTCATCACCAACTATGGTTGATTTATGTTCATCCTTTCTTTCCAGTATTCTTTTCAACTTCTTCCATCAATCATCTCTTAATTGTTGTGTATTTGAGTATTAGCTGTCAAGAACCAACTATAGTTTAAGCACCTTGCTGGGTACTCTGAGTAGAAAAAAAAATTAAGACTTGGCTCCTGCCTTTGGGCAGGTTATAATCTATTTGGACAGTCATGTAAACCAAAAATCATGGTGTGATGATTGCTACCTAGTGGTCTGCAGAGGACGCTCAGAGAACACATAAGGAAGAGGGATCTAATCTGGAGCAGGGCTGATGGCCGTGGTCCCCTTTAGAGGTGCCTCCCCAATGTCTGCTCTCTGTACAGTTTCACATGCTGCATCTTTTAAACGTGTCTTTGCTGTTTTCTGATCCACACTTTTGTTAGATTGCTGACCCTAATAGATACAATTATAAAGAAGTTATAAACTGGAGGTTAAATTTGTTATAAACAAATAACAGTATAAGCTAATCATTAAAAGCTTTGGGCTCAAGTCCAGTTACTTGGCTAGTAGCTGAATTTAGTCTTGTTATTGAACCTCTGAACCTCAGTTTCTTCATATCTAAAATGGGAATGAATAATATCTACCTCCTGTTAATGTTGGATGTACTAAATAAGCCAAGGCACTCAAACAATCCAGGGTCTGACATTGATGGCCATTATTGCTTATATTATTATTCAACATAGATTTGCATGAGAAAGGAATGCTAGGTCAGCCCTAAGTAAAAGTGGCTGAAATTTGTCTTGAATGCCCATAGGCATGCTTTTTTCTTCTCTCTCAATTATTTGATAACTGATACTGAGCCAGGAGACAATAAAGTATCTTTTTCAGCGACGCTTTATAAACTAACAAGAGATTCTCTTTTTTTTTTGGAGATGGAGTCTCACTCTTGTTGCCCAGCTGGGAGAGGCTGGAACGCAATGGTGCAATCTCAGCTCACTGTGACCTCTGCCTCCTGGGTTCAAGAGATTCTCCTACCTTAGCCTTCCAAGTAGTTGGTATTATAGGCACCCACAATCACACCCAGCTAATTTTTGTCTTTTTAGTAGAGATGGGGTTTCACCATGTAGCCCAGGCTGGTCTTGAACTCCTGGCCCCAAGTAATCCACCCACCTTGCCTTCCCAAAGTGCTAGAATTACAGACATGAACCATTGCGCCCAGCCAAGAAGAGATTCTTAATGATTAAACCCCAACAAATGATCCTCTAATTAAAGGGTTTTGTTTCATAAATTGTGACAAGCTGTGTTATATCTTTGGAAAATATAGATTCATATCAGTTATATTTTTGGGGTATAGATTCATATTAATTTTTTCCCTAGGTTGGGTAACATTGTAGAGAACTCATACAATTCTAACACAAAGCAGGTACCAAGGACTGGTCTTTAAGGCTTTTGGCAAAACAAAAACAAAACATAAAACAGGGAAATTGTTCTAGCTAAAATTTTTGTCTTGATTTGTTTTGTTTGTTAATATGCTGAGTTCTGTAAATTTATAATATTTACCTGTCAGTATCTACCTGCGCAACAGAGGATCTGAGGATATTCTGTTCTGTCATGTATTTCTTACTGCCTTGAGATATTTTCCAAAGAAGATTATTGTTACTTCCATTGGACCTTAGACACTCCCTCTTAAGCCAGGCGTGGCAGCTCATGTCTGTAATCCCAGCACTTTGAGAGGCCAAGGCAGGTAGTTCAAGAGGTCAGGAGTTCGAGACCAGCCTAGCAAACATGGCGAAACCTCATCTCTACTAAAAATACAAACACTAGCTGGGCATGATGGCAGGTGCCTGTAATTTCAGCAATTTGGAGGCTGAGGCAGGAGAATTGCTTGAACCTGGGAGGTGGAGGTTGCAGCAAGCCAAGATTGTGCCATTGCATTTCAGCCTGGGCAACAAGAGCAAAACTCTGTCTCAAAAAAAAAAAAAAAAAAACAAACAAAAAAAATAAAACAAAAGAAATGACCTCTTAACAAATTCATGCTACCCAGATCAGCAAATAATGATCTTATCAGCAAATGTTTCTAGTTATTTCCATTCATGAACAGTCAAATTCTAGATGCCCATTCCCTCCAACCTGACAATGAGAGTCTTCAACATCTCCCTTCACTCAGGCATTTACCCCAGTTTTAAGCCAGGTTTACTCAACTTTACAGCTAATGTAGCCTGTTTTCTTTCATTAGCTTGTATTTTTGCATTTTTATTTATGTAAATATGCAGGTATCATTCATAGACTTTTATATCTAATTTTTTAAAAACTTTTCTCTTTTCAGGTATTTTTGCCATTTCCATTGGTAGCAATAGTCATCGACATGGGTCTGGTTGTGATACCATTGGTAAAGTCTCCAAATGGGTATTATGTCTATGTGCTTCTGTTAATTCTCAGCGGATTACTCTTTTACATACTTTTAATACATTTTAAAATAAGGTTGGTTTGGTTTGATTTGCCTGCCTGATGTATCTGAAGTATCTGAGGAACAGATGTCCGAAGTGCAAACTGTTAAAAAAAATAGCCTTCTAAAATACATATATCAGATTCCAAATCAAGGTTAAACATAGGATAGAACATATGAAATTCCTATGGTAATTACTTTTTTCTCAAATGAAATAAATAATGTATGTAAAAGTGCCTAAGAAAGTATCTGGCTTCAAAGTCACTAGGAAATTATTACGCATAATTAAAGCTCTGCTTTGTGTGGCAAAAAACCTAAGTCCTGTTTTGGATAGCTTGATAGGGGGATTATATATCTCCCATTCTCTCTTTTTTTTTTTTTTTTTCTGTATCCCATCCCTTTTCTGCTGAATTTGTGGGGATCCTATAACAAAAGTGGATGATGAAAAATTTTAAAAGCATTCCTTCTCTTCATCTTTCCTGCGTCCTTTTTTTTTCTTTGCGGTGGGCGGGGGTCAGGGAAGATGCTGATTTGAAGATGAACAGAAAAATTCAATTTTTTCCAGTTGGCTTTTCCCTTCTAGAATGTAGCACTTTCTTTCTTTCTTTCTTTTTTGAGATGGAGTCTCACTCTGTTGCCCAAGATCAGTGTCGTGATCTCGGCTCACAACAACCTCCACCTCCAGGGTTCAAGCGATTCTCCTGCCTCAGCCTCCCCAATAGCTGGGATTACAGGTACTTACCGCTATACTCAGCTAATTTTTTGTGTTTTTAGTACAGACTAGGTTTCACCATGTTGGCCAGGCTGGTCTTGAACTTACGACCTCGTTATTTGCCTGCCTCGGCCTTCCAAAGTGTTGGGATTACAAGAATGAGTCACGCGCCTGGCTGCATTTTTTTTTTTTTTCCAAGCTAATAACTATTTTAGAAGCATGGGGCTGGGCATGGTGGCTCACGCCTGTAATCCCAGCACTTTAGGAGGCTGAGGCAGGTGGATTACTCAAGGATAGAAGTTCGAGGCCAGCCTGGCCACATGGTGAAAACATGTCTCTACCAAAAATACAAAATTAGCTTTGTTGGTGGCAGGCACCTATAATCCCAGCTACTTAGGATGCTGAGGCAGGAGAATCACTTGGAACTCAGAAGAGAGAGTTTGCAGTAAGCCAAGCTTGTGCCACCGCACTCCAGTCTGGGCAACAGTGTGAGACTCTGTCTCACACACAAAAAAAAAGAAGTATGAGTCTTAGGTTAATTTTCTTTGAGCGCCTTTTAAAAAATGTTGATATGTCTTAGAAGAACAGCATTACTGTGCCTTCATTTGGTTTATTAACAAGTGTGACCTACTGGGAATGATGTGGTTTATATATATATATATAGTGTGTGTAATAGATGGCTGAGTGGATAGCACCCCAGGAGTCACACTCAGCCAGTGTCATTTGATTTAAGGAATTCATCTGCGGAGCTTAGAGTTGTAAAAGATCTGGTTTAGAGATGTCTTCAGAAAGTGGGAATGTGGGAAGATGTGGGAAGATGTCCAGTGACCTTCATTATCCAGCTCTGTTCCCTGTCTCCCTTTATCCTTCAGAGGTTGCATCAACAGATGTCAAAGAACTTGTCAAGTTTGAGGAAGTATCCCCTGGTGTGATGGTTAGTTTTATGTGTCAACTTGGCTGGGTCATGGGGCCCAGACATTTGGTCACACATTCTTTTGGATGTTTTTGCAAGGGTTGTCTTTGGATGAAATTAACATTTAAAATAGCTGGATTTTGAGTAAAGCGCATTGTCCTTCCTATCATGGGTGGGCCTCATCCAATCAGTTGAAGTCCTTGCTAGAACAAAGACTGACTTCCCTAAGAGGGAATTCTGCCAGCAGATGGCCTTCAGACTTGAATTGCAACATCAGATCTTCCATGGGTTTCTAGCCTGTCAGGGCACACTACAGATTTTGGACTTGCCAGTCTCCATAATTCTGTGAGCCAATTCCTTAAAATACTCTCCCTCTCTCTCTCTCTCTTCCTCTCTCTCTGTGTATGTCTCTCTCTCTCTCTCTCTCTATCCATATATACTTCCATTGGTCTGTTTCTTTGGAGAAGCCAATAACATATCCAAGTTAGCAGGGTAGATAAGTAGATAGCATACTACTTATTTATTCCTAAGACAGTTGCCTTATGTGGGCCTCACGGTTCAACATTCCCTTCACGTAAACCTCCACTACATTTAGACAGCTGCCCAACTTCCCTCTTCCTATGAGCTTTCAACACACTGTGGTAAAATAGTTCCTGAGCTAATTTCATAGAACCCATCCACATTTTATAAATTCAGGATCAGAGCTTCAGATTCTGGAGACCTGGCAGATATTTAAATTACAAGTGAGAAGAACCAGACATCTGATTGACATTAGATTTAGGAGAAATCTTAAATGTTTACAGTAGCCCCACAAAGTAACTTGCTCATCTGTTTGTATACTCCCAGGGATGGGGGAATTACCACTTGCTGAAGATGCTGGTCTTATCTTTGGACAGCTTTGCTTTCCGAAAGCTTTTTCTAATAATATGAAGCTGCAATGCAATTTCTATCTATTGGGTAAGTCTAATCTTCTTTCACATGACATCCTTTTAGATATTTGATGATAGCCATTCTGTGGCTCTGTGTCTTCTCCAGATTAAAATCCCCCAGTAGTCCAAAGTTGCTGCTTTTGAAAATGTTGACTCCTCCACACCTTGCCGGGCCCTTTTTAATGTAAAATGTCTTAAATTTTTATGCCATAAACAATGCAGTTTTTCCGGACATGGTCTGACTATGGCAGAGCAGAGTGGAGTTATCATTTCCTTTGTTTTAAATATTCCAGTTTTGTTCACTGTTTTGGCACCGCTATACACTTAAACCTTCTAAATCTTTCATATAAGTCATGGCTGAGACATGCCTATTCTAAGACTGTGTGGGACATTATGTTGGCAAGTCTAATAGATCAATACAATTTCTCAGGGAAACTTTTGTACCACAGCAAGGTAACAAGAAATTGACTGATGGTAGCAAGAGAGGGGTTACAAAATTTCAACACTTCAAGGAAAGTCACAACATGACTTTCATTATATTTTTTTATATTTTATATTATTTTTGGAAATAAGGCCTTATAAAATATTTGTGATAAATTTTCTGCTTTGCAATTATTTTGTTCTACTCCCGAACACCAGTAATTCACCTTCCTGCTATATTTCCTTTAAGAGGAGTCTATTGGGAAGCCATCCATCAACAATTTCTTTGATGACGTCAGGCAAGGACTTATTTACTACACTCTCTGAACTGAGGCTAATGGTACTTATCTATTTGACAACAGGTGTGCTGTGAAGATTAATGACTTGTGTGTGACATACTTTGAAGTTGAAAGTAATCACTTTCTTATTATATAGATAGGGCCTCCAAGGTGTTATCTCTTGCTTGTATCATGAAATTTGCAAAGTAGACACTACCTGAAAAGCTTCTACCTCCTCTCTATTCAGAGCAGGTTTATTTTTATTATTCTATTTTTTTTTTTTTATTATTGAGACAGAACCTCACTCTGTCATCCAGGCTGGAGTCCATTGGCACAATTTTTGCTTGCTGCAACCTCTGCCTCCCAGGCTCAAATGATCCTCTGACTTCAGCCTCCCAAGTAGCTGGGACTACAGATGCATGCCACTAAAACTGGCTAATTTTTTTGTATTTTTGGTAGAGACTGGGTTTTGCCATGTTGCCCAGGCTGATCTTGAGTTCCTGAGCTCAAGCCATCAGCCTGCCTTCATCTCCCAAAGTGCTAGGATTACAGGCATGAGCCGTTGAGCTCAGCCTGGAACAGGTTTAAATAGCTTCGTGAGGTTGTATTAATTTCCTGGAGCTGCCATAAGAAATGATCACAAGTTCAATTGGCTTAAAATAGCAGAAATCTGTTCTTTTGCAGGAGGTCAGAAGTCCAAAATCATCCTAAGCAAATTAATGCAAGAACAGAAAACCAAATACCATATGTTCCCACTTATAAATGGGAGCTAAACATTGGGTACTTGTGGACAGAAAGATGGCAAGAATTGACACTGGGGACTATTAGAAGGGGGAGCAGGGAGAAGGGCAAGAGTTGAAAGACTAACTACTGGGTACTATGCTCAGTACCTGGGCGATGGGATCATTTATACCCTAAACCTCAGCACCATGTAAGGTACCCAGGCAACCAATCTGTCCATGTACCCCTAAATCTAAAATAAAAGTTGCAAAAGAAACAGAAAAAATTAAAATTAAAAAAAAAAATCTCCTTCTCCTTTCTCTCATAAGGATACCAGTCATAGGATTTAGGTCCACTCCAAATCTAGAATGTAACTGTCTCAAGGTCTTGAACTTACATCTGCAAGGATCCTTATTCCAAGTAAAGCCATATTCTGATATTCCCTGTAGATGTGTTTTTAAGAAGGCCATTATTCAACCCACAAAACTAGGTCCTCCTAGTTATCCAGTTCCATTCCCAGATCATGTAGTGGCCTTATTCAGCCATAGAGGATGGTTCAAGAAGGCCACCCTGATTTTGCTTCCCTCTGGAGGTTGTAACTCATCTGCATGTTAGAGTTGGAACTAAAATATGAAATCTGGAAAACCTCAAACTTCATCCCAAGTAGTACTGTGATCTTCCATATTAACAATGTCTCAATGTCTCCTAAAACGGCAGGATCAGTATTTGAAAAGAAACTTTAAACTAGACTTGAGAAATAGCCAGGTAATCTCGAGAGCTGGATTATTCTGATCTTGATGCCAGGACGTCCCAGCAGACAAAGATTATTAGGAATTCTTGACAATCAGGAACCTGGATGTTGTTATTGACATCATGTTATATTGACTAATGATGTGATTGAGAAGGAAATAACTGTGCTTCAATGAATCTGCTCACATCTTTCCATTAGGCCTAGGCCTCTCTGAGATGACTTCTCTCTGAGTTGCTGCTTGTTCAGCACCTTGTATATGAAGCCGGTAGGAAGAAAAATAGTCACTTTGCTTAAGTGTCAGCTCTGTGCCAGAGGGTTGGGAATGCTGGAGGATTTCCCA